GAAGCTTGCTCCACAAGCTTCCCAATCTAAATAGACCGGTCAAGCTAAGCTAACCATGGTTCTCTTGAACCATAGTTAGCCTAGCTTGCCCCACAAGTTTCCTTCACCCTATATAACTCTTTTTCTTACATTTGTAATCACTTTTTGGCATAATTGAGAGTGAATTCCGAATTGTTCAGAAATTTTCTCTCTCCTAAAAGTCCTAACCTCTTTGATATTCATCCAATTCTCTTATCCCTGCCATAGAAGAGTGTGGTGAGAATTAAAGAGACTTATCTCTTCTCCAAGGAGTGGCGTCTCTTGAGAGTGTCTCCTCGCCAATCCGTGGTGAATCCAAGGTTTCTTCCTCCATTGGATACCTTGGAGAAGCTTAAGAAGAATCAAGGAGCCAAAGGTCCAGGGAGGAGCTTGAAGAGGAATCAACATCAATCTGGTTTCTCAACAAGTTTTCCATCAGCAAAACTCAAAAGAATTGAAGGTTGAACTTGATTTAGCAAAAGAAGATAAAGAAAAAGCATTCATAAATGTCGAAGAATGCAAGAAAAGAATGACAAGAAATTTAATTCAAGAGTAAAACCCTGTGAGTTCCATGTGTTAGAAAAGAATGGCTCAATCCAAGCGAGGGGTGAATTGGATTCTATGACACTTAAAATTTTTCAGAGTTCTAAGGATCTTTATTTCAACTTATAGAGGACGCAAACCGTAAGGAGTGTGCTGCAGCAAAGGCAAAATCATTGGCGGCAAAGGCAAACGTGGTACAAGTGCAAGAACAACCCAACAAAAAGAGGTACGATCAAAAGAAAAATAAGTACAATTCTAAGAACTCTTTCCCTTGTGCTACTAACCCCACCTTTAAGAAAAAAAGGCAATTGCTTTGTCTATGGAAACCAAGGCACCATGCACCTCAATGCCATTTTTGAGCGTTTAGAAACGACAATCCTCCTAAGGCCAAGGTTAACCTAGATGAAAGGGATGATGTTATTGTAACGGTCGTTTCTCAGGCAAATATTATGACTAATGTGAGCAAATGGGTGATAGACTCTAGAGCTACTTGCCACATATGTGAAAGCATAAATGCTTTTGCCTCCTACACTACTGTGGGGGATGTAAAAGAGCAAGTGTACCTTTGTGATTCTAGGACCACTTTAATTCTAAGAAAGGGCAAAGTTCTTCTAAAGCTTACATCTGGTAAAATGCTATCTTTAAATGATGTGTTGCGTGTTCCTTCCATCAAAGTCAACTTAGTTTCTATAGCACTGTTAGGAAAAGTGGGGTTTAAAGTATCATTTGAATTTGACAAAATTGTTATGACTAAGAATAATGTTTTTGTGGGTAAGGGTTATTATTACCAAGGCCTCTTTGTACTGAATGTATCTGGAATAACTAGTGAAACTACATCTCCTTTTGCTTATATGATTGATTCTTTTTATATGTTGCATGCTAGATTAGGACATTAAATTATGTGTATGTTTTATAATTGAAACAACTAGGTATGATTAACATACATGATTAACAAGTTGGTAAATGTAAAATATGTATTGAATCAAAGCTTATTAAGAAAACATGTCATCATGTGTTTCATGAATCTAAATCGCTTAGTTTAATTCATTCTAATCTTTTTGATTTAAAATAAACCATGTCTAGAGGTGGTAATAACTATTTTGTAACTTTTATTGATAATTTTTGTAGATACACAAAAGTTTACTTGATTAAACATAAAGATGAGGCATTTGACATGTTTTTATCCTATAAAGCGGAAGTTGAAAATTAGTTAAATAAAAAGATTTGATCTAATAGGGGTGGTGAATACACTTTATTTAATGACTACTGTGAAAATGAAGGTATAATTCATGAGGTAACCCCACCTTATTCACCTGAATCCAATGGAGTAATTGAGAGAAAAAATATAACTCTTAAAGAAATGATGAATGCCTTGTTGATTAGTTCTTCCGCTCCTGATAATCTTTGGGGAGAAGCCTTATTAACTGCTTGTTTTTTACAAAATAGAATATCTCATAAAAGAATTGGTAAAACACCTTATGAGTTATGAAAAATGATATCAGCCTAACCTAAAATATTTGAGAGTGTGGGGGTGCCTAGCTAAAGTTTTGTTACCTAATCCTAAGAAAAGGAAAATAGGGCCTAAAACTTCTCATTGTATGTTTAATGGTTATGTTGAACGTAATGCTGCCTATAGGTTTCTTGTCCTTAAAAGTAGTGTGGTTGATTGTAATACGATAGTAGAAACTAAGAATGTTGGATTTTTTTAAGACAACTTTCCTTTGAGGATTGGTACTAGTTCTTCTCAACCTTCACCTTTAGAAACCTCTAGTGAATCTATGTTTGAGGACTTGAGGAGAAGTAAAAGGCAAAGGAAAGAAACATATTTTGGGAATGATTTTTATACCTATCTAGTTGAGGATGATCCTATAAGTTTCTCAGAAACTATTAGTTCTTTAGATGCAAAATTTTGGAAAGAAACTATTAGGACTGAAGTTGATTCAATCAAAGAAAATAATATATGGACTTTAGTGGACTTACCTAAAGGAGCAAAATCAATGGGTTGTAAGTGGATCTTTAAAAGAAAGTACAATCCTGATGGGTTTATAGAAAAATATAAGGCTAGATTAGTAGTTAAGGGATTTACTAAAAAACAAGATATAGATTTATTTTATACCTTTTCTTGTTGCCAGGATTTCCCCTATTTGAGTGTTAATAGCCTTAGCATCTATCCATATGCTTGTGATACATCAAATAGATGTAAAAACAGTTTTCCTAAATGGTGAAATAGAAGAGGAAATTTATATGACTCAACTTGAAAGGTGTGTGGTTTCTAGTCAAAAGAATAAAGTGTGTAGACTCTTAAAATCTTTATATGGTTTAAAACAAGCACCAAAACAATGGCATGAAAAATTTGATCAAGTTTTACTTAATGATGGGTTTACTCCCAATAGTCCTAATAGATGCGTGTACACCAAATCTATGAATGATGATTGTGTTATCATATGCTTATATGTGAATGATATGCTTATTTTTGGTACTTGTGATGATATAATGTTCAAAACTAAATTTTTTCTTACTTCTAAGTTTGATATGAAAGACATGGGTGAGGTAAGTGTAATATTGGGAGTTAAAGTTGTAAGGAAAGGTGATAGCATTTTACTATCCCAAGGATATTATGTTGAGAAACTTCTTAAGAAGTTTGATTATTATGACTTAAGTCTATGACTACCCCTTATGATGTTAACTCTTGACTAAAACAAAATAAAGGAGTTTCTCTTGCTTAATCTTAGTATGCCCAAATTATAGGGAGTTCGCTACATCTAATGAACTTTTCCAAACCCGACATTGCATATGTAGTAAGTAGACTAAGTAGATATACCTATAGTCTCAATCAAGACCATTGGGAAGCTCTTGCAAGACTCATGAGATACTTGAGAGGTACCATGGATTATGGTATTGAGTATAGTGGATTTCATGTTGTATTAGAAAAATACAATGATGTTAATTGGATCTTCGATTCAGATGACACAAAATCCACTAGTGGCTATATGTTTACACTTGGTGTGGTTCGATTACATGGAGATCAATCAGTCAATCTATTATTGTTAGATCAACTATCAAGTTAATTAGAGTTTGTAGCTTTGGAGATGACTGCTACTGAGGCCAAGTGGTTGAGAACTTGTTGTTAAACATTCCTCTAGGAGTGAAACCAACCCTATCATCGTCAATACATTATGACAACCAATCGATAATAGCCATAGCTAAGAATAAATCTTACAATGAAAAAAATAGACATATACAATTGAGACATAATATAGTAAAGCAGCTGTTGAAGGATGAAACGATTTCCATTAGTTATGTGATGTCAAAAGGAAACTTGGAAAATCCTTTAATAAAACCCCTAGGAAGAAAAATGATTTATGAAACATTAAGAGGAATGAGACTAAAGCCAATTGTAAACAAGCAAGTGATGGTAACTTAACCTTTATGATTGGAGATCTCATGAATGAGGAACAAGTCACCTATTAGTTCTGCTAGCACTAAAATTGATTTCTTAAATCTTTGTCCTTTCCTATAATGTGGAAAAGTGCTAAAGTTGCATTAATGAGAGGATAAGTTTTATTGTTAAGCTTTATGATGAGAAAGCTTGACACATTATAAAATTTTTAATGATTTTCATATCTCTTATGAGTGGTGTATGATTTGTGGTATGCACTTGATGAAATCACCTATGAGTATTAAGTGTGGTCACTTGCACGAGATCTTGGCGAGATCTCTAGAGCACTCATGAATATCGGGCACACGCATGGTCTAATAACACAAAATAGCAATAACGACGATAATTGTGGGGGTGTAATGTTATTGATAAAAATGCTAATATACACCAAGTGTTTTGGTTCATATAGCTTGCTACACCAATCTCTCTGTACATTAAGTATTATCAATCTAGGTCTAATTCATATAGCTTTCTACACTAGGTCCGACGTATTACAGCCAATATGAGAACCCAAATCCTTCCTTCCTAATCTCTCCTTCTTAATCTTAAATAAAATAAAATATTTTTATCCTTTTGAAATATGCGGGGGATTGTTGCATATATATTAATAATATATGACACATGCATGTTTATTTCAAAAAAAGTCTCATATTGTTTGGACCACTCCAGATTTGAACCTTTATATATTAAAGTGTTCCTAACACTTTCAAAGAGGCAAGCAAAGGGTGTTGGACTCGCACATGAAAATGAACCTTGTGAATCCGTTGCAGTTCAAATCTGTCGATTTGTCTCTTAGTGCGAAAAATGAAATTTAAAAATATTTTTATTTTTTATTACATTAAATTATTTTAATTAATTAAGACAAATCTATCTGAAATATATGATCGTTTTTTTTATTACATTAAAGTTTATCCATTAAATTTTTGACCGGTTTATAAAATAAAGTTTATCCCTTAATTTTTGAACGGTTTATAGACTTCTCAAAGGCTCCATAATTCTATAAGTAGAGGTCTCTACAACATTATGTGTTTATTTAGTATTTCATGTTATTTAATATTCCATGTTAACAATATGTGACTGGCCTTATAAAAACAACATAAGATATTTCATCTTTCCCTTAATAATTAACTATGATAGAAGTAACATATTTGCAGGGACAATGTTTGTTTTGGGAACTAGAAAGTATTATGTGCTGATCATCTTTCTGTAGCCTTTTACCTGACTAAAAGTAAAACAAGTGATATTCATTTCAAAGCAAGATTGCAGACCCCTGGAACCGCAACACCTCTGTAAGCCTTGCAAACATGGTATGTAAAATTTGCATAGTCCTGAATTAATCACAAACATTAGTATTGACGACTTTATTATCAATAATCTAAAAGTCTTACAATGAATGACAAAGTAAGAGAAAGGACTAACTTTTCCAATAGGTTTATTGTTCACCACCACCCATGGCACAAATGAATGAGGTGGGTGAAGTTGTTTGATTTTATTAATATATTCTCTTCCAAGCTGCATAAAAATTAAAATTTAATTTAAGTACCACAAAATAAACTTACACCCTCAACATCACATTAGTCCGATCGAAATTGAATTCCAATTTCTTAAATAATTTCTTGGCTTAAATTTTGTGTGAGAAAAAAATAACATAATTTAAAAGGAAGATTTTATTAAAAATAATCAGTTTTATAATAAAAATTAGTTATTGACAAAATTGGTGAATACTTTATATAAAAAATATGCTAAGGAAAAAAGTCTTATACAATTTAACATAAAGTTTTAATTATGATAAAATACATATGTAACATCATAATCAACCACTAACTTCTTTAAAAATTTCTAATGAAATTATGAATCCTCTAACTAATCATAATGCAAGTTTACATGGAAAAATATAAAATATAAAAAATTAAAAAAAAATTGAATACAATCTTGGGTCCTAGGTAGGGATGACAACGGGGCGGGTCGGGTACAGGTTTAATGATACTCGTTCTCGTCCCTGTTCTTGCGACTCAAACCCATCCCCGTACCCGTACCAGCCGGGTATATGATTTCCATCTCCATTCTCGTGCCTGTACTCGTACCCGTACATGTAAAAAATTATTTTTTTTAAAAAATATATTTTAAATTATTTTTTCATTAAATTATAATTATAATTAAATTATATCTCTATCTCATATTTTAATCAAGAGATTTCTTAATAATTAAACAATTATAAATGTTTCACATTATAATAAATAATTAAACATAATAAAATATTAAATTTTTTTAACCTAATTCAATTGGGAACGGGTACAAGTACGAGGCTGGTATGTATATACTCGTACCTGTACCCGTACCTGATTTAATATATCG